TCTCAATCTTCCCCAACAGCAATATAAGCAATTACAGCTTTGCCATATTTCACTTAAAGATTAATTGGGATTTTACAAAATTTTATACAAATGGAATCATAGTTTATGTACAAATGGAATCATAGTTTATGTTTTTTACTTATTACATTCAGAATAATTATTTTAACTTATATTGATTCATGTATGAATAATAAGTCATTCTTTTTGTATTGAATAAAATATTTTCATTTCCTTTTCACATTTTCATATCCTTTTCGTATTGTCAAATTCCACTGAAGGTAATATAGCACATTTCATCTACCCATTCATTTCTATTGGACACTTAGGTTGTTTTATTTTGCCAATTACAAATAAAACTTTTATGATTATTATATACACATAGTCAAATAGGCATGTTTTCATTTTCTTGAGGTTAATACCTAACAATGAAATAACTGGTCCCGATAGTAAGTGACTCTTGACGTTTTTAAGAGACTGAAAGTCTTTTTTACAGAATTGTTATACCATTTTACATTCCTAGTAGTGCTGAATTTTATAATTTGGGAGGGATTATGAATACTTTTGAATTAGTTTGAATATTTTTAATCACTGTTCTTGGACATGGATAATTTACTTGGAAAAAAGTTAATCTTTTTGAATCTTGCTTATATGTTTTTAGGCCAATCTAGAGGAGTATTATTCTAGGACGAATTTGCCTGAATGAGAGAAGTGTGTTCTGTGTACTCCACACAATGCCCTATGAATTGTGATGTTTCATAGTTTGAGAGATGGAAACGGAAACTATTCCTAGTCCAGAATAAACTCCAAAGATGATATTCTGTCTGACCATTTTATATAGGTCTTTCCACCAGTTTCAGGTAATTTACATGTGTGTATACACTGATCTCCTGATGTCTCCTGCATACTGAGAAGGATATTCTGCTGTTCTCTGGAGTTATCTATTTTGTAGCTCATCCTGAGCACTCTGGCAACCCATGTTCTAAGCAGAATTATGTACAAGAAACAAAATATAGACACAACCCAAGTCCCTATTAACAATACTGGACAAAATGTGATAAATACACACAATGAAACTTGCATTATTCTGCTTTTAAAAAAATTGGACACAAACTGCAACATGGGTGAAACTTAAAACATTATACTCAACAACATAACCCAAATACATGAGGATCAACACTATCTGATTGAACTTAGGGAAGCTACCTAGAACATTCTAATTCAGAGAGAAAGAGAAAGTAAAATTGTGGGTGCCAGGAGCTGCAGTGGAGGGAGGATGGGGGCGGGGGGAGGGAATGAAGAGTCATGATAGAGATGAAGTGTCAGTTTTGCAAGTGTGTGTGCAAACCCCAGCCTTTACAGTGACAATATAGGAAGGAAAAGAAGGGCAAAAGTGAAGAAAATAAATGAAACATTAAAAATTCAAGGTATAAATCCTCCATTTGTATGGACATGTTGATATGAGTGCATAACATAAATTGCAGCTCTTGTGTTAACATGTTAAGCAATTAGCAAGGATATAGAAACGACTGTGCTGTTGTCCACAGATGATCTTTGAGAGAAAAGGAACCCACAAGACTCAAGAACAGATGATTGCAACTTTGAACAAAAACAGAACAAGGTCCTTGAGATTTGCAGAAAATAGAAAGGAAGCTCCGAGAAGCCACTGGGCTTGGGAGTTTCCCCAGAGACTCACTCCTTAGGGTGAGAATCTTCCTCCAAATGTGTTCAGACCTCAGTTCTCATCATTCTGTGAAAAATACCAGCAAATATCTTCTCCTGATATTAATATCTATCTTCCCCTTTTGGTGTTTCTAGTTAACATAAGTAAAAGAAGTCCTGTTTCTAAAATCTGTCAAGATGTCTCAGGTGGGAGTTTTTGGAACCTCACATCATGTTATTCCCAGTACATACTAATATTCTGTAGCTACATCAATCACCAGAGCTGCAGATCGAATTAATGAAAAAGAAAATCTATCCTTCCGCTGAGAGTGTGTTTATCCTACCACGCTAGGGGACTCAGTTAGAATATTTTTCTTTTTGTGTTTTTGTGCCACATCCAGCCTGCTCAGGGGTTACTCCTGGTGGGGGTCAGGGAGCCAAGGGGGATGTCAGAATCAGTTGGGTGCAAGAAAACTGCCCTACTTGCTGTACTATCTATCTCTCCCCTGGTAAGAACCTTCTTCTGAATAGAGACTAATCACAATTAACAGAGACTAGAGTGAACACTGGAACACTACACAGCCATATCCCTCAGTTCTGAGACCACCAATATGTGAAAGTGTTCTGCATCATTCATCATCAGGGAAGAGCAAATCAACAAGAGAGAGATATCACCTCACTCCAGACAGACCAGAAATCAAAGATGACAGAAATCAATAGTGCTGGAGGAGTACTGGGGAAAAGGAACCATCAACCACTGTTGGTGGGACTGCTGTCTGTCTCTGGAAAACAATACAAAGACTTCTCAAAACACTAGGAGGAGAGCTTTCATATGACCCAGCAACTCTACTTCTTGGCCTCTACTCGAAGAGAGTCACTGTCACTGTCCTCCTGTTGCTCATCGATTTTGCTCGAGTGGGCCCAGTAACGTCTCCATTGTGAGACTTGTTGTTACTGTGTTTGGCATATTGAATACGTCACGGATAGCTTGCCAGGCTTTGCCGTGTGGGCAAGATACTCTTGGTAGTTTGCCGGGCTCTCCGAGAGGGGTGGAGGAATTAAACCCAGCTCGGCTGGGCCAGCTGCACACAGGGAAACGCCCTACCCGCTGTGCTATCACTCCAGTCCACTCAAAAAGAGTAAAAGCATTATTTTGAAAAGATATTTGTACTCCTTTGTGCACTGAAGTGCTATTCACAAGAACCACAATCTGAAAATAAAAGCCTCCCACAAAAAGATGAGCAGATTAAAAAAAGTGGTACAGTACACACAAATGTAGTATTGAACACTACACAGATATAAGAAAAGATGAAATCTTGCAGTTCACTACACCTTGGATGGAACTGGAAACTATTAAGCTGAGCAAAGTAAGTCAAATGGAGGATAAATGCCAAATGACCTTACATATATGTACAATAAAACATATATAAAGGTAAAGGTAAAGGTAAAGGCCCTCCCGTTGATCGTTGATTTGCTCGAGCAGGCCCAGTAACGTCTCCATTGGAGACTTTGTTGTTACTGTGTCTGGCATATCGAATACTCTCGGTAGCTTGCCGGGCTCTCCGAGAGGGGCGGAGGAATCGAACTCGGGTCGGCCATGTTGGCTGCGTGCAAGGCAAACGCCCTACCCACAAAGTCTCCATTGGAGACTTTGTTGTTACTTTGTTGTTACTGTGTCTGGCATATCGAATACTCTCGGTAGCTTGCCGGGCTCTCCGAGAGGGGCAGAGGAATCGAACTCGGGTCGGCCATGTTGGCCGCTTGTAAGGCGAACGCCCTACCCGTTGTGCTATCGCTCCAGCCCAAAACATATATAAAGGGATCAGAAAGACAATACAGGAGGTAAGGCACTTTACCAACCCTACTACAAATCCCTAGTACAAGGTACTCCTGAGCACAGAGTCAGGAACAGCCACTGAGCACTTCCAGATGAGACCCTCTCCCATAACTTCCCCACACCCACACACATAAATGGAGAAATATATATTATATATATATATGTGAACATATACATATATATGGTAATGAACAATGCCAATGATAACATCATATTGGCAAAATAAGAGGGAGGTGATCAGTGGTGTATGGATACTGGTGCTCTGGTCGCCAGTATGGCACAGCAACATCATACTCCTGAAACACTACCACGTGAACATTACTGTAAAATCATGGTGCCTGAATTAAAAATATAAAATAGGGTCCAGGGATGTGGATCAATGGAGGAGAACATACTTTACACGTATAAAGACCTAAGTTTATCCCTGATGCTATGCACATACGAAACAGAGAAATAGAGCAAGAATGTGGCTCTGTGGTAAAGTGCATGCCTGTGAGCAGACGTAAGACATGGGTTCAGTTCCCAGTACCTAAAACAATTATTAATATATGTGTGTATACATGTACATATATGTATGTATATATCACTGTCACTGTCCTCCCACTGCTCATTGATTTGCTTGAGCAGGCCCAGTAACACTGTGAGACTTGTTACTGTGTTTGGCATATTGAATACGTCATGGGGAGCTTGCCAGGCTCTGCCGTGCGGGCGAGATACTCTCAGTAGCTTGCAGGGCATTCTGAGAGGGGCAGAGGAATTGAACTTGGGTTGGCCATGTTGGCTGCATGCAAGGCAAACGCCCTACCGCTGTGCTATTGCTCCAGCCCACGTATGTATGTATATGTGTATATATGTACACACACATACACACACATACACACACACACACACACACATATATATATATATATATATATATATATATTTGCTAACATCTATACTGCTTTGCGTTAATATCTGACACCTTAGGAAGTACTGTTCTGTCTGATTAACCAGAAAAGAATTGAAGTAAAAATTCTTGAACTATAAAATAATAGCCTGATGCATCCAAAAGAACAAGAGCAATAAGATGTGAGGAGAAAGGGGTTCTCCTTCTTTGTTGGTGGGAAAGCTGACTACTTCAGTCTTTTTGGAAAACAAGATGGACATTCCTCAAAGAAACAGAAATTGAGCTCCCATTTGACCCAGCAATACCACTTCTGGGAATACAGCCTGGGGTCCCCAAAATGCCCTCAATTGCTTCTTCCACTGGACAATGATGACCATAGGAGATGAAGCATGCAGACTAAGTTGTTCTTTTCTAAGTCCTTAAACAGTTTGGCTTAGCTGTCAGTATCCAAACAGGCAAACTGAGCACTTGGATTTAGGTGATGAAATTCTGGAACTGCTTTCTGAGGCTCAACTGGATTTAGGGGAAACTAGTGTGGAAGCTCACACATGATACAGAGATGCCCCCTGTCACATGACTTCACCAGGCTTAGGGCAGGAACCATGCAAACATTACCTTCAACTGCTCTAGGGCAAAAGGCGAACCATCTTTTCGTAAGTTTTCAATAACTTGTTCCACAGTATTGGCTGAAAAACAACTAGAAAAGAGTAATTTCATCATTGTACAAGTGATTTCTTCTTTCTAGGAGAGGAATGAATCTTAACATCAGCTTCCCTGAGCCCCACTTCAATAATGAAAATTTTCCCAACTTTTTTTACTGGATGATATAAATAACACCTTGCTTCCCTGGCTCGGTGTATGCAGAGTAGTTTCACAAATGCAAAACATAACCTAAATTTTTCCGTTTGCTTCCTTATGTCTTCTATATATGAATCAATGGTATCTGTGAAAAACAGTTAATTCTAAAAACTGCAGAGAGTTGGTTTATTTTTCAACAGTTTCCTTCCTGTTTCCTTAAGCTAGTATGTCCATCTGCCAAATTACTGCATGACGTCTTTTTGCTGATAAATTTGATAACCTTTCAGAGAAGATGATTTTACAAATATAGAGAATAATTCCATTGTCACATTAGAGTCTTTCTTCCTTTTATTTTTGAAAAAGACATCTTGTAGGGTGAGGATGTATTTCTAGGGTAGGACACACACTTCATATAAATTATGTTTATATGAAAAAAGAAAAACATGTTTTGCACTAACATGAATCAGCATGTTTACTTAAATAGAACCGATTTATTTCTCCTTGAAAGAGTGGGCAAGAAATAACTTTCAAAGATAAGAGCAAATAAAAACATGATACAATCTGATTCTAGAATCTGGTGTGTTAGCAAGCCCAATGCAAACATAATGTTATCAAATTCAACTGAATAGTCCTTCCAAAGGAATAGCTATAATTGAGAGCTCTGCTTAAATACCTGTTTATTTTGTCCATGTGTTCTTCAAGTATAAAAGGCTTGTCTTGATCAATTTTGGACTGTTCAAAAAGAAAAAACTTTAATTAATTTGAAGTAACAAGCCTTTTTAGCTTCCTTAAAATTTTCATTTTAATGATACACTTTGTGACAGATTATCACTTTGAAATTACATCCAACAGTCTCATAAATAACTGCCACCATATGTTCAAAATTCAGACAAGTGTGTATTATTCCAGGCTCACTCCTCAAAATGCCAAAGGCAAAAAATGTTCCTATGGGGCCAAGGCTGTGGCTTAAGAGGCAAAGCACATGCGTGGCACATGTGAGACCCCAGGTTCCATCCCTGGCACTACATGTCCCACACCACCTGCTATGCCAGGTGTGGCCCCTGTGAAAAGTAAAATTTTTTGTATTTCCATTTATGTACCATGATAGGTGATACATTATCACCTATTATAATATGTCAGTGAATTTAACAGTGTCCTGAGAACAATTTCATCATGCCCACATTTCCATTACCATACCCTGTACAATCCCCAAACAGTACCTCCCACAGGAGCTCAAGGACACATGAACAACTGTGAAAGGAGATTCTGGACCCAAAATTAGTCCTCTCACAAAGGAATATCATTTTGAAACCCTAATCCCTAAAGTGATGGTACATAGAAGTGGAACTAGAGGCTTTGGAAGGTATACTCGCCCAGAGAGTGGAGCCCTCACAATGGGATTAGTGCCCCCTAATGGAAGAGATGTGGGGGAACTTCCCTCCTCTGCTCAGTGTGAGGGAGGAATAGCAAGGAAAGATTTGTCAGAATTCTTTCTTTTGTTTTCTTTTTGGGTCACACCTGGCATTGCACAGGGGTTACTCCTGGTTCATGCACTCAGAAGTTACTCCTGGCAGTGCTCGGGGGACCATATGGGATGCTAGGAATCGAACCCGGGTGAACCGCCTGCAAGGAAAATGCCCTACCTGCTGTGCTATCACTCAAGCCCCTTGTCAGAATTCTTATGAGGGCCCTCAACTGTAATGGTATCAGCTGGCTCCTTAATCTTATATTTTCCAGCCTCCATGACTCATAGAAGTTTCATTTCTGCTACTTAAGCCATAAAGTCTATGGTATTTTTGTTATAGCTGACCAAACTGACTAAGAGAGACTGTATGTACCAGTTCTGAAAATGATCAGAGAATGGGATGGATGTCTATCCATATGATGTCAGGTATCAAGCCTGGGTTGACTGTATTCCAGGCAAATGCTCTACCCACTGTACTACTGAGCTGGCCACTATTTTTTTGCATTTTGAGCCACACCTACCAGTGCTCGTTTCTTACTCCTACCTCTGTGCTCAGGGATCACTCCTGGCCAGGGTTCAGGAGACCATACATGGGGTGGCGGATCAAAGATGGTTTAACTGCATGAAAGACCAGTGCCTTACTGACTGTTCTTGGCTTCCCCTTCTTCAGGTTAAGCTTTCAGTGTTCTCCTATACTAAGTAGCTGCTCTCAACTTTGTGCTTTAAAACCTTCAAAATCCTGACATCACATACCTGCCACTTTCTTCTCTCTTATTCTACTGACTTTTATGTCTTTTCTATTCCTTTATTGGAATTTTAATGAGGTTCTGTGGGGGGGGGGAGGGGAACATATAGTAAATCCATCATGTTTAATTAGAGGTCATCGAGCACTTTTATAGATCCATGACTCTTACAAGAAAATCTAGACAACAAAACTAAGGATTACTAAAGTAAACCTTGCAATATATCACATACATACGCACCAGAATTTCCCGTTAGTAACTCCATAAATAGCATCAACACTGGACCTTCTTTATAAAAATGTCAGGGTGTCATGAAAAGCCTTTGAAAGTATCAAATGAACATAGAACAATGCCCTCAATGCACCAGCAGTGAGCAGATAAGCTGTACAGTTTCCCAGTATCAGTTTCTTAGATAGCTGTTCTAACACTTAGGAAACAACAGTAAATAATTTCTAATACACTTATTTATACCCAGAAGCTATAATACTCGCCAACTGCTAATTTTCCAATCACTTGCCCTTTCCCATAAATTAAACTGAAGTAGAAAATTGAAAAGATTACCTTCTTATGGTATGTTTCTAAGATACCCGCAATATTTTCTTTAGAAGGAGATTTCAGGGCTAACAAATCTTCCTCTAACATACCCAGCTAAAGGAGAGAAAAAAAAAATAAAAGATGAGAAATGTTCTAGAAATGCATAATCTTAGAAATTTTAAAATCTTTAAATCTTCCTATGTAGTTGAATCACTACAGTAAGTTTTACTGAAGTTGAATGTGTATACCTTAAAGAAAATTCTTTAAAGAAAATTCTCTAAAGGCTACCTTAAGGAATAAAAATGGAAGCAACTAGTGAGGATCTCCATTTCTGTTTTTCTCTGGCAAAGAACTGAGAACTTGAAATGTAATACTGGAATCAAATATCTGAATTATAAATTTTAATTAATTTAAAAATTATCTTAAGTAATGTCTACTATAGTCTGTGCATAGCATTATAATATGTATATACATATATAATATATCCAGGGCTGGAGTGATAGCACAGCAGTAGGGCGTTTGCCTTGTGCGCAGCCGGCCAAGCCGACCCGGGTTCGATTCCTCCGCCCCTCTCAGAGAGCCTGGCAAGCTACTGAGAGTATCTCGCCCGCACGACAAAGCCTGGCAAGCTACCAGTGATGTATTCGATATGCTAAACTCAGTAACAGCAAAGTTTCAAAATGGAGACATTACTGGGCCCGCTCGAGCAAATCGATGAACAACGGGAGGATAGTGACAGTGATAATATATCCACACTTACTTCCTTTTCTACATCGTTCATATACCTATCCCTATTCTTAGTTAAGTAGAACTTCTTTCCAAACATAAGTAATACTTTGCTGTCCCTGTGATTTTCTCGTTAAATATTTCTTCTATCCAGATGCCTTTTCCTGACACTACTTTCCACAGTTGCAATCTTTAAGAAAACTTCTCGTCCTTTCTTATAAATGAGTTCTTCTTATCCAATCATTCCTTTGTATTCTGTTTTCACATCTATCTCACCTACTCCAGTAGATAAGACCGTGCATCTTTGGATCGTCCTCTATCCCTTGCATCTGCACTGCTGTATTACTCATCTCTGTTATTCTCTATGAAGGCTGGTGAATATGTGCAACCTATACACTTCATATAATATTCCTGGACAAGCTGACAAAGACTGAAGAAGGTTGTGAATCACTTTCTCCCGTCCTTAACTACATTCCACCATAATCAAAGATGTCTGCTCCAAATCATGGAGTACTCATGTTTACTTCCTGCTACATATCAACGGAAGAAAGAAATAATCACCTACTTGATAGATCTGAAAATGTCCCAAACACAAAGAAACATATGAAACTTATTCTTCGTCAGCTATTGTAAGGGAAATGCTAATGAGAGCAACAATTGCCATCTCACACTAGTGAAAACTATTACGGAAAACAGTATGAACATTCCTGAAAATAAAAAAAAAATAATAACAGCAACTTTATGACACAACACTTACTGGCATCTGCCCCAAACCACAAAACCAACAACTGAAAAAGATATGTGCTCATATCTGTGCTCACTGCAGTGCTTAGTACAATAGACAGGATGTGCAGGGTGGGGCGGAGGAGATGAGGAAACAACAAATTTCTAAGGTACAATTAATGAATCAAGAAGTTGTAGTGTATGTGTAGTGTATGGGTCAGTAAGACAGTACAGTGGGTAGGTCAATTGCTTTGCAGATAGCTGATCCAGGTTCATTCCCCGGCATGACATACAGTTCCCTAAGCCCCACCAGGAGTGATCCCTGAGCACAGAGCCAGGAGTAAGCCCTGAGCACTACCAGGCATGACCCCAAAACAAAAAAAAAAACAAACCAGGAAATAAGTATCAATGACAAACCCTTGTAAAGGACTGCAAAGCTCAGATTACGAAGCAGTGGGTGGAGGTGGAGAGGAGCTGGAAGTAGCATGAGAACATTGGTGAAGGGTCCTAATTGTAGGGGATGAAGGAGCTTTGTCTATCAATACCATAAACTTTAATACATTCATAGATGTTACCAAAACTATACTTAAATAAAAGATATAAATACAAATGATTTTTAGAATTTATTTACTACTATCCATATAAATTATTATACCAGCTATAAAAATTAAATAAAGATAATAAATTATCTTCTTATGTATAAAATGTATGTACTTAAATAACTGAGGTTGTGAATCTTGGGCAAGGGTTGCTAGAGGGAAAAGTTTAAGGAGCCATGATATAAATCAGTTCAATCAGAGTGACCTAAGTCAGGTGAAACAGAATATATCCTATGTCTGCTGATAGGAACCATAAGGCAAAATCACCTTGGGCTGGGCTTTCTGTTACATAAAAGTCTTAAAACCAAATATCATTATTATAATTTCACATAAGATGAAAAGGAGGACTATGAGCTTTAACACCTTCTCCAAGGTCACACAGTTTGAAGTAGTAAATCCAGGAATCAAACCCATGTCTACCAAAAAACCCTATAATCACAACCACTCACACTATCTCCTGTGCAGGTAATATGAATTATTCCAACCATACACAAAACAATCACTGAATTTTATTTAATTACCTTTTCAAAATCTACAAAGTGTGTAGCGATTCCTGCTTTTAAGACATCTCTTCCTTTTAGCCTGAATCCCGTTAAGGCAAGGAAGTAGCCAAGTTTTCCTTGAAGCCGTGGCAAGAAATAACCTCCACCCACATCAGGGAATAATCCTGTGTTTAAAAAGCAAAAAAGATACAACAATGATTATAATCAAAGGGATAAACATAATTCACTGTATTTTTAGATCAGATGGTCATATTTAATTAAAAGTAGTATCAAAGTGCAGGCGGGAGAACCCGGCAAGCTACCGAGAGTATCCCGCCCGCACGGCAGAGCCTGGCAAGCTCCTTGTGGTGTGGCGTATTCATATGCCAAAAACAGTAACAACAAGTCTCACAATGGAGATGTTACTGGTGCCCACTCGAGCATATCGATTAACAACGGAGGACAGTGCTACAGTGCTACAGTATCAAAGTATTTAATTCAATTGGTATCAATAAACAGTATAAACTGGAGTATATTTCAAAATTTTTTGTTTCATTCCCATACAAGACAACAGGGTATTAATTTTGATATCCTTCTTTCATAGGCTGATGTAAATATAACTAAATTACTTTTTAGCAATCTCAGCAACAAGTAGCACTGTAGTACTGTCCTGTTGTTCGTCGATTTGCTTGAGTGGGCCCAGTAACATCTCCATCGTGAGACTTGTTGTTACTGTGTTTGGCATATTGAATATGTCACGGGTAGCTTGCCAGGCTTTGCCGTGCGGGCGAGATACTCTCGGTAGCTTGCTGGGCTCACCGAGAGGGGTGGAGGAATCGAACCCAGCTCAGCCAGGCCGGCTGCATGCAAGGCAAACGAACTACTGCTGTGCTATCCCTCCAGCCCCTGAAACAAGTAAAAACTAAAATAAATTTCTTTCCAAATAGCATTCATTGGAAAACTAAGGCTACTGTGGGGAATTTTATTTTACAGTTCCTTAGCTCCTGTGGCTTTAGGAATTAACATTGATCTCTGCTATGGACAGAACTGTGTCCCCTCCAGTTTCCTATGCTGAAAGTCCTCACCCTCAGTGAGATAACTTAGATCAGATCATGTATCTTTCTAAGAAAGGAAAATTCAGGGGTACATACAGAAGAAAGGCCATTCCAAGTCAGAACCTCAGGAGCAGCCCGGCCAGGCCAGGGCAGTAGCGGGGCAGTAGGTAAGTGCCTTGAATGAATAAGGCCTGACGTTCTCTCTCTGGAACTGCAAGTATTGCAGTAGCAGTAGGAGAAACCAAACATGCCAATGACTTGATCTTGGACATCAGTCTCTAGAACTGTGTGAAATACATGTCTTAACCACCCCGTTTGTGGTATTTGATTATGGCAGGACTAACAGACTAATACACTCCCAAATGATACATTTACTTACACTTTTCCATTGAATATCAAGAGCTTAGATCTTAATTCTAAACATGAACACAAAAATTGTAAGCATCTGGGATAGCCACCTGGCAAAAACACAATTCTTGATCCTCATTTCTCCTTCCACAATGTTTTTTCCCGAATAGATTTCATCTATCCAAAAGATTTACTTGGAAATTCAAGACATTCTGAATAACAAAATAACCCATGAGGAAAGAATAAAAATGGAAGTATCATGGTCCCTGGCTTCAAATTATACTATAAGAAAAGTAAATTAAAATGGCAAGGCATTGTAATAAAGCCAGGCACAAAAGACAAGGGAATAGAACCGAGAGCCCAGAAATAAACCCATACATACATGGACAATCGATATATGACAAAAATGTCAAGAGCTACAATGTGCATGGAAAAATCTCTGCCTTCAACAGTGCTGGGAAATATGGATAGTAGATGCAAAGGAATGAAACTAGACCACTAACACCAATTCCAGAAATCAATTAATGGATTACTATAAATACACTGAGGAACTCGTAAGTGATAGTCTCCTTGACATCAATCTTATAAATATGTTTTAGATCTCAATTCCCAATAAAAATGGGGGAAGAGGAAAACAACATTTAAAAGTTGCATAGTGAAAAACTATGATAAAAATAAGAGCATATATTTGCAAATAATGTATCTGACATGAGGATAATATTTGACATACAGAAGAACTCATAAAACTTAACAACAGCAGGGGCTGGAGCGATAGCACAGCGGGTAGGGCATTTGCCTTGCATGCAGTCAACATGGCTGACCCAGGTTCGATTCCCAGCATCCCATATGGTCCCCTGAGCACTACCAGGAGTAATTCCTGAGTGCATGAGCCAGGAGTAACCCCTGAGCATCGCCGGGTGTGACCCAAAAAGCAAAAATAAAAAACAACAACAACAACAAAAAAACTTAACAACAGCAACTAAAAAACTAAGGACTGGAGAGATAGCTTGGAGGACTCAGGTTTAATCCCCAGCAATTTGTGGTCCCTCACAAATGCCAGGAGTGACCCCCCCTGGAACACTGAGCCAGGAGCAGCCCATGAGTACTGCCAATCTTGACCGAAAGATCAAAAATAACTTGGAATTAAAAATAAAAAGTGTCTGAACAGAGACATTTCCAAAGATGACATACAGATGACCATCAAACACCAAAAAAATACTCATTTCTTGTTTTTAGGAAAATGAACAATGAGATAACACCTCACATTTCTGAGAAAGGATATTATTCATAACACAAAACAAATGACAAGTATTGGGGAGAATATGAAGAGAAGCTAACCTTTGCTGGTAGGAATGTAAATGATTCAGTCATTAATCACTTAATCACTTAATCACTTAATCACTTAGCTTCCCGTTAGTCGTCGATTTGCTCGAGCGGGCGCAAGTAACGTCTCCATTTGTCCCTGTCGCGTGCTAGTGTAGCCCAATGGCATCTCTTCGCTCCGGGAACATGGAGGGCCTCAAACCGATCGTTCATGATCTTGACAAAGAAGTCTGACCATCTGGTAGGTGGGCGGCCACGCGGTCTTTTGACATCCCGTGGAATCCAATCAGTAACAGCTCTAGTCCAACGGTCGTCTTTAAATCTCATTACGTGACCAGCCCATCTGATTTTCGACACCTTGGCATATGAGACAGCGTCCCTGATCCTTGATCGTCGACGGATGTCAGAACTCCGGATTCTTTCTCTCATTTGAGTGAAACGTGTTATTCCAAGCATAGCTCTTTCTATTCTTCTTTGGGAGACCTGAATAGCATTCTCATCTTGTTTGCGTAGGGCCCAGGTCTCTGAGGCATATGTTAATGCAGGAAGAACAGTGGAATCAAAGAGATGTGCCCAGAGCCGGAGGTTCTTCGTCCTCTTAGCTATTTCTTCGACGTTCTTGAAGGCGTTCCAAGCCGCTCTCTTCCTCCTGCGCAGCTCGGGTGCCAGGTCATTTCTCATGTTGACCTCTCGACCTAGGTAGACATAGCTGTTGCATTCGGAGATGGTCGTTCCATTGAGAGCGAATGGGGCGTCAGGAACAAGGCTGTTTCTCATAAACATTGTCTTCGTAAGATTCAGCTGTAGTCCTACCTTTCCACACTCACGGTCAAAGTTGGCCAGCATTTGTGCCGCTTGGCTGATGTTTGGTGTTATTAAAACAATGTCATCAGCAAAGCGGAGGTGGTGTAGTTGCCGACCATCTATCTTCACTCCCATTCCTTCCCATTCCAGTCGTCGCATGATGTTCTCGAGGGTGGCACTGAAGAGTTTCAGTGAAATGGTATCACCCTGCCGCACCCCTCTCTTGACATCAACGATCACTTCTTTGTAGAATGGTGAGATCCTGGTAGTGAATCCGCAATACAGCTCACGGAGGATCCTGATGTATTGGGCTTGAATGCCCTGATTGGCTAGGGCTTCAATGACCGCTTCCGTCTCAACAGAATCAAAGGCCTTCTTTAAATCAATGAACGTTAAGCAGAGCGGCATCTTGAACTCCCGAGAAACCTCAATGAGCTTGGTTACCGTGTGGATATGGTCGATGGTGCTGAATCCTTTGCAGAACCCTGCTTGCTCGCATGGTTGTCCTTCATCTAGTGTTCTGCCAATCCTATTCAGGATGACTCGAGTGAACAGCTTGTAGATGACAGACAATAGGCAGATCGGGCGATAGTTGCCAATGTCATGGATGTCTCCCTTCTTGAACAGTAGTACGGTCCTGCTGGTTTTCCATTGGGACGGAACCTTGCATTCAGACAGGTAGCGAGTGAAGAGCCGAGCCAGTGTATTGATGAGTACTGACGGCAGGTTCTTCAGGTGTTCAGGTCTGACCTTGTCTGGGCCGGGTGCTGTTTGCTTCTTTACCAACGAAATGGCGTGTCGGATTTCGGAAGGGAGAACGTTAGGAACGACATACCCATCCTGTGGAATTTGGTATGTCGGCAAGTGGACATGGCTATCGAAGAGATTTGAGTAGAAGTCATGGATAATCTTCTCCATTGCCGTTCTGGAGGATGTGATGGATCCATCAGGACGTCGGAGGGCAGTCATCTTGGTCTTATAGTTGGCGAAGGACAGGCGGGCCTTACGAATACTTTTCCCGGCTTCTGCCGCATCTACCAGTACTTCTGCTCTTCTCTCTTTGAGGTCTTCCTTGATCGCATCTCTGCACTGCTTTGCAAGCTCGGACGTTAGCTTGCGGTTGCCTGAGGCATGCGCCAAACCACGCTGGCGAATTAGCTCAAGAGTTTTCGAAGATAGGCGATTTTTTGTGGCTATCTCTCTCTTGGCGTTCCTCGCACATTCATGGAGGTGCTGAACCAGTCGATCGTATTCCTCCTCAATGTTGTCAACAATGGCATCTTCCCATGTTGCCGCAATAGTACCAAAGAGTTCCCAGTTGGTGGTCATTCTGGGAGTTCTCTTTTTGAACTTTGCAGCCCTTTTTCCCCGCTCTGTGAAGTAGAATTTTGCACGAAGGAGACGGTGGTCCGATCCCGTTCGAAATTTTGGGACAACAGCAACATCAGTCAGGCAAAACCGTCGATTGAATACGATGTGGTCTATTTCGTTGTGGAATCATCCACCGGGAGACTCCCATGTCCATCGTTTAGATTCAGCCTTCTGGAACTGTGAGTTACCATGAATGGTCTTGGTCGACATGATGAACTCAGACAGTCTCTCACCCTGTTCGTTCCATTCTAGGCCATGGGTCCCGATGTGAAGTTCTTCAGCTG